GACTCGATCCGAGCAGGAGACATACGTGCCTACATCGTGGTCGAATCCCACACCACGCCCAGATAAGTGGTTCTCTGTACTGGAGAAAGCACACTTTTCTTGGCGTTAAGTCTTAACCCCAGCTCTTTCATGTGAGCGAGAACGACATCTCGATGTCGATCTGCCATCCACTCTGATTGAGCTAATTTCAACCAATCGTCGATGTGGTTGAGTCATGAAAGTGTGGGGTGAGAGTGCAAGGCCAAAGGAAGAACTCGGTGTTGGTAAGCTTTTGCCCCCAAAAGCAAACCTCAGGAACTTCCTGTGATGAGGGAGGATGGAGACGTGCATATTTTAGATCGATTGTGCCAAACCAGTCCTCGAGGGACCACCTCGATGGCCTCCTTCCTCAAAAGAGTAACTACTTATGTTCCATGACCAGAGCCTGCTCGGGATCCACCATATTGGGGATGGCCCCGTTTAAACTGAGATCTTAGCACTGCTACGTTTCCGGGCGGTAACTGAGAGCTCGCCCGAGATCGCTGTGCCCTGGAACACCAGCAGGGTTGGCAGACCGATCTCCTGAGGGCACTGAGAAGAGACGGGCACCGTGTAATGCAGTGTACACCGCTCTTCACCAGAGGGAACTGGCCCTCAGAAGTCCTATAGGCCTTAGGCGTCAGAACGTTTTAGACGGAGACTATCCAGCGAGAATGACGGTCCGCAAAACCGCCTTCCGCTAGAAGCCTTCGGCCTGGGAGCGCCACTGTGACTCTAGACTCTACGGATTACGAGAAGTGACGCCCCCAGAATGAGGAGCTGAAACATGGTAGGTTGGGACTGCTCCCGCCCAGCAGCCCCTGCAGACCGCCTCAACCTCCTCAGAGGAAGAGAGGTAAACACGTGCTCTTACTCGAGAAATTTTTATCCCAAGAGCCCCTGTATATCTAACTTCTCATAGTCAGATAAATACTTAATTTAATTCCTCAGAATTAAATGCAGCCAAACAACCAGATGAGTAAACACGGTCTGGTGTGATAGGCTTCATATCAAAAATCGAAAATGATATATCTAACTTCTCATAGTCAGATAAATACCTCAATTAATTAATCAGAATTAAATGCAGCCAAACAACTAAACGAGTAAACACGGTCTGGTGTGCTAAGATTCACATCAAAAACTGAAAATTATGTAATACACGCATTGCCTCGGCAGCGCGCGAGCCACTTG